CTAATGTGACTAGGAAAGCACCAGAGGATGGCCTGATAAGCTCCTGGCTTTGGCCTGGCCCAGCCCTGGCCATTGCAGCCATTTGTGAAGTGAACCAGTGGACGGAAGATTCATTCTAGCACGCGCTCTCTCTAATTCTTGAGAGAGAGAGAAAGAGAGAAATCTTCCATTTGCTGGTTACTCCCCAAATGGCCGCAACAGCCAGGACTGGGTCAGACTAAAGCTGGGAGCCAGGAGCTTCTTCTGGGTCTCCCCATGGATGCTGGGGCCCAAGCACTTGGGCCATCCTCCTTTGCTTTCCCAGGCACATCAGCAGGGAGTTGGATCGGAAGTAGAACAGCTGGAACTCAACTGGCATCTGCTAACCATTACACCACAATGCCAGCCCCTAAACATTAACTCTTATCTCCATTTAGACCTTTAGCCAGGGTCTCCTTGTATTAAATCAGTTACTATCTCCTTCTATCATTTTCCCATTATTTAAATAACTTACTATTCCTTCCAGGTCTTCCACTTGAATGGTAGGAATTCAAGCACTTGACCACCTTCTGCTGTGTCTCAGGTGCAGAAGTAGGAAGTAGGAAGTAGATATAGGTGCATTAGTTGGAAGCTGGATTAGAAGTGGAAGAAGAGTGCCAGTGTTGTGGGTGTAGCAGGCAAAACCACCATTTGTGATGCCGGCATCCCATGTGGGCACTGGTTCAAGCCTGGGTTGCTCTTGTACCAGCTCCCTGTTAACGTGCCTGGAAAAGCAGCAGACGATGGCCCAAGTCCTTGGTCCCTGCACTCATGTGGAAGACCAGAAAGAATCTCCCGGCTTTGGTGTGGCCCAGCCATGGCTGTTGTAGCCATTTGGGAAGTGAACCAGCTTACAGAAGATTTATCTCTCTCTGTCTCTCCCTCTCTCTCTATAGTTCTGCCTTTCAAATAAATAAAATAAATATTTAAAAAATAAAGTGGGGGCTGGAGCTGTGGCATAACAAGTAAAGCCACCACTTGCAGTGCCAGCACCCCATAGGGGTGCTGGTTTGAGTCCTGGCTTCTCCATCTGATCCAGCTCCCTACTGATCCAGCTCCCTACTTTTTCCTGCTGGGAAAGCAGCAAAAGATGGCTCAAGTCCTTGGGCCACTGCATCCATGTGGGAGACCTAGAAGAAGCTCCTGGCTCCTGGCTTCAAATAGGCCTAGCTGGCCGTTGGGGCCATTTGGGGAGTGAACCAGTAGATGGAAGACTCCACCCGGCCCTGCCTCTGCCTCTTTGTAACTCTGCCTTTCAAATAAATTTTAAAAAATAAAAATAAAAAAAGAATGTACTTTCTAAAAAAATTAAGAAATAAAATAAAGTGGTGGTAGGATCCAATGGTAGGCACCCTGACACAGGGTGTGGGCATCCCAGGAGGCAACCCATCTCTAGCTGCCATTTCAGTGCTGCAATCATGCTGCCATCCCACCCTGTTCTAAAGTGCCTTAAGTGATCTGCAGGTGCCATCAGTGCAAAACGACTGCAGGATGCACACTGGTCAACACACTCTCAAGAAAAAGCCCCAAATTTTTATTTTGATCATTTCAGTCTTCAAGAAGAATGAGAACAGTCCAATGAATACCCCAAACATCCACCGCTTAGATTCATCAGTTGTTAACATATTGCCACATTTGCTTTCTCTTCTTACTCCACACATAGAAATTTAATTTTTTTTACCAAATCATTTGACAATTTGCAGATATGTCATTTTATTCACAAATATTTCAGCTTTAATCTCCTAAGAACAAGGACATTATCATATATAACTACAATCTCATAATCACAACCAAGGAATTTCATAGTATAACACTATTACTAAAAGTAAGTTCACATTTGTGCTTCTTTCAATTACCCTAAAAAATGACTTTTTTCTCAACTCAAGGTCCAGTCGAGGATCACACAGTGTATTCAAACTCATGTTTCCTTATTTTAGGGCACCCCAATCCCTTGCCTTTATTTGTCTTTCATAGCACTATCATTTTTGAGGAATCCAGGCAGTTGTCTTGTAAAGTGTCCCATAGCCTGCATTTGTTGGATTGCTGCTATTGCACTCAGGTTCAGTGATTCTGAAAGAGTACTGCATAGCTGATGATTCACACCTCATAATGAAATGTGTAAGGGACACAATAATTTGTTCCATTATTAGTGCTACTATGCTTGATCATTTGGTTAAGGTGATATCTACTGAAATCCTTCCATTGTAAAGGTATTCTTTTCCTCTTCTTAAACTTTTTTTTAAACATTTATTTATTTTATTTGAAAAGCAGAGTTACAGAGAGGCAGAGGCAGAAAGAGAGAGAGAGAGAGAGATCTTCCATCTGTTGGTTAACTCCCCAAATGGCCTCAACAGCTGGAGCTTGGCTGATCTGAAGCCAGGAGTCAGGAGCTTCTTCCAAGTCTCTCACATGGGTGAGAGGCCCAAGGACCTGGGTCATTTTCCACTGCCCTCCCAGGCCATAGCAGAGAGCTGGATCGTAAGTGGAGCAGCTGGGACCTGAACCAGTGCCCATATGGGATACAGCGCTACAGGTGAAGGCTTTACCCACTACACCACAGTGCCAGCCCCCTTTTCCTCTTTTTAATAAATAAATATTTTTAATAAATATGTGGAGTGATAACTTACTTTCATGAGTACTGTATTCCCCAAAAGCTTCTTATCTAGTTTATCAGTCATTTATAAACTTTGCTTGATTCAATAGTCACATTAGTGGTTACAAAATGGCTATTAGTGATGTTTACTATGTGAGTGAAATGAACCCTCACTGGGGCCAGCATCCCACATGGGCTCCAGTTCCTGTTCTGGCTGCTCCACTTCCCATCCAACTCTCTGCTGATGCACCAGGGGAAACAGAAGATGGTCCAAGTACTAAGGCCCATGTCACCCATGTGGGAGACCAGAATAGAGTTACAGGCTCCTGGCTTTGGCCTGACCTAATCCTAGCCATTGTGGACATTTAGGGAGTGAACCAGAGGATGGAAGATCTCCCCCTCTCTCTTTGTCTCTGTCTCTGTTCTACCCTTTCAAGTAAAATAACCTAAAAAAAAGAAAGAAAGAAAGAAAGAAAGAAAGAAAGAAAGAAAGAAAGAAAGAAAGAAAGAAAAGAACTTTTGCAAATCAAATCCTATTTTCCCACTGGCTTGCAGTATAATTTAAGAACAATTCCATATTTCAGAATTTCCATCTGCTTGACTCCCATTTACGCTGGTTCATAACATATAATTTACATTTCTCTTATCTCTGCCTGAGCAGGTCCTCCTATGAATGCCTCATATGAATGCCCTGGCTTAAGCAGTGGGAGTTTCCTGTCTATACAAGGAAGAGATTGCCTGTTTTTAGCATGCCTTTTCCTATAGCATGTCATATTCCACAGCAAGAACAATCTATTTTCCCAAAAACAGTTCTATAGTACAGTCAGCTTCAGGCACAGCAAGAAGGGAGAGAGCGGGTGACACAAAGGGCTCAGCAGACTCCTGGCATGGTTTGTAAAGATCCTGCAAACTATACTGGAGCATGACCAAATTACATGGGCCAGCTGTTTCAGCTCCTTCAGGCATCCTATTTCCCCTGGCCCTAAAAATGGTGCTTCTTGCTGGTCAGTGTCCTTTAGATTTTCAGAATTTCAGAATTTCCAGACCAGCTTCATCAGAATCCCCTGCAAGCTGGTTAAGGAGCATGTACCCCAGTCCCCACCTCTAGCCAATTTAATCAGAGCCTGAGGGAGGTTTGGGGATCACTGTGTAGAAAAGCTCCCCAGGGGATCTCATGAGCAGCCAGGTTTGAGAACCCTGCTTAGAGAAGACTCACTATATAGCCTCCAAAAGTGGGCTAGCCCAGAGGAAACAGAATGGCAGACAGCAGTTATGATTCTGCGTCAAACATGACAGCTACCCTGCCAACAACGATGCTCACAGGTCTAGAACAAGGGTAGAGGAGTTCAACCTAGATAGGTCTATTGTACCCCAAATTCACAACCTACTCAAGGCTCAAAAAAAAAAAAAAAAAGAAAAGAAAAGAAAAAGAAAAAGTCACAGTGCCTAGAGAAGCTATCAGATCTATGGTTCTCTGGATTTCATCTCTACCTAGAAGTCTGTGGGAACATCACCCCCAACGATCCCGAGTCCGAGGGCTCTAGAAATGCGTGTTTGCAATAAGGTCTCCAGGTGCTTCAGATACAAGTGGGTGGGGGACCACATGGTGAGAGACCCTGGCCTAGATGCTGCTCTGCACTTTATCTTTGAGAGCCAAGGAACAAGTGAGTTGTTGAATGAAACAACTAAAAACATCTCAGCCTTCATGTGAAAGTTGCTTACCAAACCTGAGTCCACATGGAAAATAATTCTGAGTAATTGAGTAGCCACACAGAAACAAGCCGATGATCCGAAAGCCTCCCTGAGACGTACTAATTTTCATTCAGATCTTTCATCCCAGCCAGAGACCGGGGGAGCCTGAGCCAAGACAGGGAGACCAAGGGTCCCTGAAGGGCTCTCCTCCATGGGCTCCATGTTAGCAGTGGCCAGAGGAATACCTAGAGCAAAGGTCAAGCTCCTGGAGGGGACTAAGTTATCTGAGTCAAATAATATTCCAGGCTCTCAAGGCCCTGCTGGTTCCAGCTTCCCCTTAACATTGTGAGGGAGCAAGCTCCTGGCAACTCCTTTTCTCTTCCACTGTGAACCCAAGCTCTAGCCAAGCTTAGAATGGATGCTGCGGCCCCAGAAACTGAGACAGCCAGGCTATGGGAGCAGGGAGCAAGGCCCATGCCAATGGCCACATCTGCAGCCTGAGGGCACAGTGGTAGCACCCTCTCTGCTATGGCCCAGGCAGCTTTCACTTGAGGCAAAGTAAGTCACACTCACGATAGAAGGGTTCAGTGCCCTCAAGGAAGGTCACTCCAGAGACATCAAAATATACCTGCAAGTTCCCAAAGCCAACCAGGCTCATGGCAAAAGGACCAGCACACAAGCCAGCTCCTGGGCTTACCTGACTGGAACACGTATCGGGCCAACCCCTGCATTAGCTCTGCTGGCCACGTTGGTGGGGCGGACTCCCCTGTCTCTCTCTTCAGACGAAATGTTAACTCAAAGCCAAAACCACTAGGTCCATCTGTTCCTGTAAACCTGAAAGGAATAAGAAGTACATGTTTTAAGTTCAATTACCTTAGGAAAAACACTGTTTTGAAAGCCTAATGTTCCCCAACATTTTTGGTCGTCTCAGCATCCAAACTTTCTATTCTGAAGAATTTCTCCACGTTTGAACCGTTGGGGTGGGAAAGCCCTTGGAAGCTTGTGAGGAACCAGGACTGTTGCCTTGTCCTCTTGGCAGCTGAAGGTATAAGAGCTTGGCCTGATCAATCCAATTCCTTGCTGGCATTTTGAATTATGAGTTCTAGATTCTGTGATTCTAGAACATTCTTTGCTGTGTAACTGAGACACCACTACTGAAAAATCTTCCTTACTCATGCCCCCTTTTCCTTTAAGCTGTTAGGAAGTGCCTACCCGGTTTGTACCTACATGTCCTGTGAGCACCCATGAGGCTGTAGGCTCTCTGAGAACAAGACCCTTTCTCCATCCCTACTCTGTCCAACTGGGGTACAATTCTCAGGCTGTGCCTCAGGTGTGCCTTTCCTTTCCTTCCTCGGGTAATCCAGAACGGTGAGGATTAGCATCTTCTCTGGTCACAACTCACGACAGTGACACTGAGATAAGGGCAGAATGCCTGCCGCCCTGTCTGCTAGGAAATGCTCAAGAGCCCTGTGTCTTAGGAGGTCCCCAAATGGACTTCTGCCAGGGAGGCAAGGGTGTGACTCGGCAAGCAGGGCCTGGCTAGCGAGGGAAGTGTCCAGGGAGGAGATCCTGAGAGCTATGCGAGGCTTGCCAGCATGGGAAGAGTTAAGAGCTAAAATATGCTCATGACATAATTTTCAGTAATTATATCTTGTACAAACATGAGCCACAATGATTATGCACTTGTAAACTCCTCATCGTACAAACACAAACCATAAACTAAGATGACAGCCAACCGCTTCTTGCTAGACAAGCTCCTGGAACAGGCACTCAGGGGGGAGAATTCTCAAGGGCTGGTGCCTAAGCCTGGAATTCCAGGGCATCTTCCCTGGAATTCACCATCATCACTCACAGAGGCCAGGCCAGGAGGATGGACAGAAGGAGATTCCGGAGTCTCTGAAGCCGACATCAATCTTTGCTTTGGCTTTGAGCACCTGGGTGAACCCAATCCTCCTACACCTTGCAGGGGAAGAGCACCTGAGAACGTAAGTTCTCCCAGGAATCGGAAAAAGAATCCTTAGAATTTATCACAGCCAGACCCAGTCACATTTACAGGACATGTCCATGGTTTACAGTGTCTCCAGGGATCTGGCCACGCGGAACGCAGCATCCTCGTGAGGGTACACACGTAGGATTTGGAGAGCAGGTACAAGGGGAAGCTTGGAAGGACACAACGTAAGCTACTTTACTTCCTTCCAAAATTATCCTGTTTGGAACCAATCCAGTCCAGGGAAGTGGAAGAAACAGCTACGCAAAATGAGGCTGGAGGAACTGCTTCCTGGGACTGCAGGTTTGGGAGGGGTGTGGAAATTTGGGGGTAAGAGTTAAAACTCTGCAAAAGGATACTGATCACCAGGGCAAAGGGAAGATTTCAAGCGGCTGCCAATTAGAGGCGGCTTTGTAAAATGTATTAGACCGTTATTACAGAACTTTCATCTTGGGCCAAGAAAAATACATGATTTCTAACCACAAAAACTTGAGAAATGGACTAAAAGGAACACATTCCTCTTGGGCTGCCCAATGGGGAGAACCTCCAGAGACAGAGAGATCACTGAGTCAATGCGTCCAAGCAGCACAGCTCGCTGAGGGCTGTGGGCACACACACTCTGGGTGTACACACATGCATGTGCATGTGTAAACCATCTGCCTCCACACACAGTGCTTTCTGGGCCAGCTCTGTGGTGGGCAGGCCATCCTCACTTGGCTAGGGAGAGGGACAGGCCTGGCCAGATGGTCTCCACCTGCATTTGATTACCACCCACCAAGCTGGCTGGACACAACCTCTAAACTCTGAAACATGAGTTTGGAATGGCCTGGCCTCAGGATAAACACACAACCTGGAGCCTGTCAGAAGGGTTTTTTTTTCAAAGCAGGCTGCCCAGGCAACAGGCAAATGACAAGGTCATTCCATCTTTAAAGTTTCCTGGAGGGGTCTTGGCTTGGTCTGAACTTGCTCACGTGAGGATTTCTCCAGCCAAAGTGGTTTTGTCTGGCTACAGAATGAAGCCCCTTGGAGGGAGCAGCTGTCTCCCCATCTTCAAGAAAGAAGAGCACAAGAGGGAGTCGTCACGTGCTGTAAAAGGTGGATCTGGGTCAGAGCAAAGAATTTTCTAACACAGAAGACTGCCAAAATACTGGCTGGTGGTCAATGGGTCAGTAGAATTTCTTCCTATGGAATAAATTAGAGACCCTCCCCAATTGGGTAGGGTGGGGGTGAGGGAATCGAACTGTCTTGTAACAGAAGGATGGATGAGACAGCCTCTCAAGATAATTTCCAGCTAGAGATCTGATCCTGCTCACTGTGGTGTCCAAGAGAGAGGCTGGCTTTGTCCCCGGAGTTTGGCAAACCAACATAATGGCTGTGCCAGCCTCGACAGTAACATCAAAGCTTCTGACAGAAAAGCACGTGCTTGAATCCCAGACACACCTGCCTGACCACTGGAACCTGCCCAAAGGTCTCTTCCAAGGCACTTCCCTAAGAAGGCATCCATCAACTCCAACAGGCAAAATGACTACTAAGTCCAGGCAGGAGAACACAAACCCAGGAGAGCTTTTAAGGGAAAACATACAACTGGGGCATAGAAGGAGCTAACCTAAAAGTTGGCAAGTCATGCTCAACATTACTAGCTATTAAAAAGATGCAAATCAAAACCACAGTGAGGAGCAGGCAATCACAGTAGCAGTAAAGATAGCCCTTGGGATGCCTGCATTCCATATCGAAGAGCCTAGGTTCACATACTAGCTCTGCTCCCAATTCCAGCTTCCTGCTAACGTACACTCTGGGAGGCAACAGTGATGGCTCAAGTAACTGGGTTCCTGCTACCCTTGAGGGAAGCCTAGATTGAGTTTACAGCTCCCATTTTTGGCCCTGGTCCAGCACAGCCCTGGCCATTGCTAGCATATGGGGTTTGGACTAGCAGATGGGAGTTCTCTCGTTCTATCTGTCCATCTCTCTGCCTCTCAAATTAAACAACAACATGGTGGAATATCACTCCACACCTTCTAGGAAAGCTAAAATAAAAGACAACAGTAGTATTGATGATGATATGGGGATATTAGAATGCCTGGGGGCTGGCACTGTGGAATAGTAGGATAAGCCTCTGCCTGAGGCACTGGCATCCCATATGGGCAATGGTTCATGTCCTGGTCTCCTCTACCAATTCTACTCTCTGCTTCTGGCTTGGGAAAGCAGTGGAAGATGGCCCAAGTGCTTGGGCCCCTACACCCGTGTGGGAGACCCAGAAGAAGTTCCTGGTTCCTGGCTTCAGATCAGCTCAACTCTGGTCATTGTGGCCATCTGGAAGTGAACCAGTGGATGGAAGACCTTTCTGTCTGTCTGTCTGTCTCTCTCTCTGTCTTTAAATCTACCTCTCAAATAAACAAATAAATCTCAAAAAAAAAAAAAAAAAGGAAATAATGCCTGTACATTGTTGGTGTGAATATAAAATGTGACTGAAAGACAGCTGGTAGTATCCAGGGGCCAGTGTTGTGGCATAGTGGGTAATGCTGCTGCCTGCAGTGCCAGTATCCCATATGGGCACTGGTTCAAGTCTCAACTGCTCCACTTCCTATCAGCTCTCCACTATGGTCTGGGAAAGCAGAAGATAGCCCAAGTCCTTGGGCCCTCATACCCATATGAGAGACCTGGAAGAAGCTCCTGGCTCCTGGCTTCAGATCAGCCCAGCTCTGGCTGTTGCAGCCATCTGGGGAGTGAACCAGCAGATGGAAGACCTCTCTCTCTCTCTGCCTCTGCCTCTCTATAACTCTGCCTTTCAAATAAATAAATAAATGGACCTTTAAAAATGAATAGAAATAAGCTACTGACAGCCTCAAAATGCCTTTACATGAGAAAATTATTAATTATTAATGGGAAAGTAGCAACTTTCCAATAGAGAAATCTGGCAAGGCACTGCCTTAATCAAGCAATTCAAGTAATCAGATTTCAGACTTCCTCAGTGGCAATTAGACAAATCAACATCAAGCATCTCCTGATAGGTGCACTTAGAAAGGCACAACACTTGTGATACTCCTATCCAAGAAATGCATACCCTCATTCTAATTATGAGGAAGCATCGGACAATTCCACATTCTATAAAATAACTGTACTCCTCAAAAGATCATCAAAGACAAAGACAGGAATCATCTGAAGAAGTCTAAGATATGTGACAATTAAATTTCTAGAAAATATTTTATCCCGAACTCCAGGACTCTAGTCACTGAAGTGGGGTCACCAATTTGACCTTGTCTGCCTAAGCCTTTCTCGGCTTCATCCTAGGAAAAGCCACTAGGCAAATTGGAACAGTTAGTTAACCAACCTGCAAATGTCACTTTCTGACCCATGCAAAGTAAAATGTTGCTACAGGGGCCAGTACTGTGGCATAGGGGGTAAAGCTGCTGCCTGCGATGCTGACATCCCATACAGGCACTGTTTCACATCTTGGCTGTTCCACTTCTGATCCAACTCCATGCTAACGGCCTGGAAAAGGCAGCAGAAGATGGCCCAAGTTCTTGGGCTCCTGCTACCCACATGAGAGACTCAGAAGAAGTTCCTGGCTCCTGGCTTTGGCCATGCCCAGCCCAGGCTGTTGCTGCCACCTGGAGAGTGAACCAGCAGATGGAATATGTATTTCTCTGTCTCTCTCTAACTCTGCTTTTCAAACAAATGAGTAAATCTTTTAAGAATGTTGCTGCACTTAAAATGCCCCAAATATGCAGTGAAAGATACCAGCAGCACAGGGGAGCAGTCTCTGGAACCAGGATGCCTACCCCAAGTTTAGGCTCTGTCATTTGCTCGGCTGTGTGATCTTCGGCAAATAAATCATTTATCCTCTCCA